CCCCAAAACCCCAAAACCCCATGGATGTTATAATACATTTTACAGGTTATAGATGGATATTTATATAAGAAATTACAATATAAAATATATTTAAAGATATTATTATAGCAAATTTTTATAATTATAAATTAAAAAAGCTCGTTAACTCTCCATAAATCCAATGAAAACAATAATAACAATCGCTGTAGCCCTATTTATAGGTGCTATCTCAACAAGATAATACCAAAGAGCTCCAACAAGATCTGAAATTCACAACTAAAGGCTCTATGAAGCTGAAACAGAAGATCTTACTGTTGAGGATCCACTATACTATGATGGTTACTACCCTTAAGTAGAGAAAAATATTTTTACAAAAATCGGACACGGTCTCAGAAGAGTAGAACCATACATTGGACCTGCCTTCAAAATTGCAGGTGCCATTGGTGGTCTTTCTGTTGAGGAACCTATGTTCCACGATAATGTTTAATATCCATAGGTCGAAAAAAATATCTTCACAAAGATTGGACACGGCCTTAGAAGAGTAGAGCCATATATTGGACCCGCATTTAAAATTGCCGGTGCTATCGGAGGTCTCTCTGTTCAGGACCAATTAAGCCACGAGGAAGAAGATTACGCTTACTACCCTAAAGTTGAAAAGAACGTATTCACAAAGATTGGTCACGGCTTGAGAAGAATTGAACCATACATTGGACCCGCCTTTAAAATTGCAGGCGCCATTGGAGGTCTCTCAGTAGAAAGCCCTAATCCTAGCCCTATTTATTTCTATAATGATGCTTTCTTCCCAAATGTTGAAAAAAACATTTTCACAAAGATTGGACATGGTCTCAGAAGAATTGAGCCATACATTGGACCAGCTATTAAAATTGCCGGTGCCGTTGGAGGTCTTTCAGTTTAAGATCCTTATTATTCATTAGATGAGTTTGAGCCTGAGGTATAAAGAAGCATCTTTAACAAAATCGGCGATGGATTCAAGACTGCTGGTAAGGACATTGCCAAGGGAGCTAAGATTGCTGCACCATACGCTATTCCTGCTCTCGAACTTGCTGGTACCATTGCTCTTGGAG